CCTCACAGCTGATGCCTCCTGGGACATTTGATGTAGATATCCCAGGAGGCTTCAGGAGCAAGGTTCACAATGTTCTCCTCTAGGGAAGAATGAAGGTAGGGGGTGAGCTGCACTGGAAATAAAAAAGGTGAAAGAACCCAAAAAGTTGTCTCTTTTTAGATTGTGGAGAGGGAAGGAATAAAATGGTGGAAAGTGTAATTTTGATGTGACAGTCTGTTCAGCACATTAGCATTGTCATTATCGAAGCATTTTGTTACACAAGGTTAGGTTCACTTAACCAACTTCCAGGAAAGGAAGTCATTGCTTTTCAAGGCATAGTGGATAAGTAGTAGAAGGAGCCAGGGGAGTACCAGTATCAAAGAATCAAAGGCGCTTCCTTAAATGTGTCTACTGTATAGGTTGTATTAAAATCTAAAGTTAAAAAATGTAATAAGCTGTGGGGTCCTAACTGCGGCAGTGTTGCTCCTACAGCACAGGGCTAAAGCATTGATATGTGCTTTAAAAAAAACTAGTTTGCTTTGCTTGCTTCAGGGCTCTGATTTGGGCCCCATTTGTTCTAATGAATGGGGGATGGGGGGTGTAGTGGTTCGAAATGTGTTGGGAAGAGGCGGAAGCTTGCCACATGACATACTGGTCATGTGACATGGCTCTCCTCCTACGGTATTGCCATGTGCTCTTTGCAGCGTTATGGAGGGAGCACACCGGAAGACATTGCCTGCCTGATGCTGCATTTGTGCAACCTCCTACAGTGGTGTGGAGAAGATAGATGAGCACAGCATGAAAGAGAGAAGCATTTTGACCATTTGGGGTAACAAAGGATTCTAGATAAATATAATATGAATAAATACGTTCTCTTAAAAATAAGAGAGACTTCCTGTAGTGTATTATTGCATGCGGTTTCTTTTATCAAGTGGAAAGAAGTGGCTTGAGATTTTAACCTTTATAGGACAGAATGACGGGGTCAGTAGGAGAAAATAGAAGATAATTCAGTTAAGGATAACATCACTGGTAAATCAGCATTAGCAGTCATTGCCAAGGCTTTTCAGTAGGCCTGTGCATTTAAACTGCCCCCTTCAAGATGCAGCTATGCCGAGAGACGGCCTTGCTTTTCCTATCCAGAGGGTTTTTAAATAAACCTGCCATGTAATCAAATGTATTAAATGGCCCCCCCAGTAGTTGACAGGCATCTAAAAAGGTGCCTGCGCATATGTTTAACTAGCTGTTTAAGCCTTAAAGCCCAGAGGACTAGATTACCCACATACCAACTTGGTCCTGCTTCATCCACGTTTCCCTATCTAAGAACCCACAAAATGGGGGTGCTCGCTTATGCAAAAAAAACAAAAATAGACCTTGCATGATCTTACTGTGGTCCATCTCTTCCACTTCCCCAGTGACCCATGAAGCCCATCTATTACACTTAGTGGCCAACAGAGAGGTGAGGAAGGTAGACCACACTGACCAAGCAATGTTTGATTGTTTTTGTTTTTTTTGCATAATAGTCCCCAAGGGTATTGGAGGTCCTTGGACACCCTTAAAGTAAACTAAACATACATTCTTATTATTTTATCTAACAGCCAGTTTAAAAGCATGAGCCAGCCCACAGGTTAGCTGTAAGTATCATCTTGAACATTCAAACTGCCCAATATGATCACACAAAATTGAGAGGAATAACAGTGTAGTTTAAAAAAAAATGGTGGAATTGGTAATTTGGAAACTGTCCTTACCTTGGCTCTCGAAGAGCTCACGTTTTCCATATTTTCAATACTACAAATACAGCTGTGGGGAACTTTGGAACATGCGACCCGTATGTAATCCCAAAAGCTTCGAGGACTTTCATAGCCAAACCAGGTAAGCTGGCCTGTAAGAGAAATGCAGAAGACTGTAATGCCACAAGCAATATCATGAAAATATATAACAAATCAGGCAACCAACATTCAGCGATTTGAAACATCACGCCCTGGATCTTCAGCCTGTGTGAACTATAGGAACCAGCAAGTCTCATCAACCTCTGGCTCTACATATTCTATGCAATTATAAATATTAACATACCTGATTGTCAGAGAACTCTAGCTTCGAACCTAAGTCTCTGGATGTATTATGGGTTTTATGTGCCCAAAGCTGGATCTATACTTCCTGTCCACTCCAGGGCTCGGTTTTTTTTTTTTTTTATCTCCCAAGGTTTTTGTATTACTGTGCAACCAGTTCTGAAATTTACACAGCTCTGCCGGTCTTCTTTTTTTTTTACTGCACTTAAACACCAGAGCTTGTTCACCTTCCTGACCTCAGCATGTGACTGGACAGTGAGAAGCAGGAGACTGATGAGCTCACACCTCTGCCACTCTATTCTCCTCGTGTTACTGTGCATGGGATTTCAAGAAACTAATGGCAAGTAAAATAAATGCATTTAAAATAAATAGTGCCCAAGTTTAAATAAAAAAAATACAAAAAAAAAGCCAACACTGACTTACATTCTACTTTGAACTGTCCCCCATAAACTCAACGCTTCCAGGTCCAACCCACTTCCTGTGAGCTCAGGCTATCAAGAACCTGCCTACTAGGAGCATGTCAACAAGTAGAGGCTGTAGAGAGTGGCACCACATCATTACATGGCACTGCCTACCAGCTGGAGGAAGAGAAAGAATAAGAGGACCCTGTGTGTGTGTCATGTGATGGGATTGAAGGCAACTGAAAAAAATGTATATATACTAAAAAAAAAATAATTAACACAAATGGAGGGGGGTGTCATCAGGGGAGGCATGCCATACCAAGAGTTGGGCTTTAACATGGCTGACAGTTTAACTTTAAGCTGCTTAAACTTTCCTACACGGGAGTCTTTAGTGCGTATTATAAAATACACACTGATACCACATTAAAAACATGTTATTTTTTTTTCCAGTTGATTCCCAAGAGTGAGATTGTTTTATTCATTCAGACGGTTATGTTTATTATGCAGAATGGCTTCCTTTTTATTTGTGTTTGCAGATTCAATTAGAAAAGGAAAAATGGCACTGGCGGCGCGCACTATAAGCATGCAGGCAGCGGTACTTTATTGAGCGATAACACTGAGATATAATAGCTTCGGAGATTTCCATCTTGCCGCTGTGTTTTATTGTATTTGCATGTTAATTTTTAGCTTGATTTTCTAAGGCTTGAGAGCTGAGAACACTGCTGTTTAAAATGGAAAGTATTTTAGATTTTTCCAGGACTTGTTTGAGTAATTATTACACCGTTAGCCTGAATGTAATTCTTTATGTAACTCTTGCATTCGTACTTGCTTTCTATGCCATCTTTTTTGGATAATATTTCATATACAAAGTTGCAGGCAAATCTTTTAGTGGCTTTCAGTATGTCAGGCAGAGCAGTCAGCATGCACGCTAGATGACTGCTGCAGAAAGTTTCCAGATCAATCATTTAGAAAGCACATTGTTTTCATTAAATGTCTACAGAAACAGATGTAGCAACACGGTTGAGAACAACCAGCCACAATCTCTTTGCAGCACATCAAAGCAGCAACTGTATGAGCAAAGATGCTGCCATGTACACATATAACCATAAACAAGATATATAAAATATATTTTTTAAGCAGTATATTAGGTTTCAGCACATGGAAACCAAGACCAATGGTGTTGGATATGGGTTTTCTTTTTTATTACCAAAAAATAATAATTGGTGGAACATCTTTCACTGAGCCCATCCCTCTTCCCCCATAATCCAGTATGCATATGCAAATTCTCCAGGCACCCCAGTGTAAAATGTAAAAACCATACATGTAGAAAAATTACACTTGGTTCCTCCAACTTTACATCAGAGTCCCCTTAACATTACAGCCCACCCTTCACATCAAAGTCCCCTTAAAGTTACAGCCTCCCTTCACATCAGAGTCCCCTTAACAATAGAGTCCCCCCTAACCCAGAGTCCCCTTAACATTACAGCCCCTCCTATACATCAGAGTACCCTTAACATCACAGCCCCCTTCACATCAACGTCCGATAAACGTTACAGCCCTCTTTCACATCAGAAGCACCCCCTTCACATCAGAGTCCCCTAATATTACAGCCCTCCTTTCACATCAGAGTCCCTCTCTTTCACATCAGGAGCCTTCTTCACATTAGAAATATGACTTTGTGTGAAAATTTCAAGGCACCCCTGAGGAAGCCAGAAGGCACACCAAGGTGCCATGGCACCCTGGTTGAGAAAGACTGACCTATACTAAGAATTCTGCAACTTGATGTCTCAGCAGATGCCAACAAAAAACAATAACAGGTAAAGCCCAGAGTTTCCATTTTCATGCCAAATATCAGAAATCATTTGAACTGAGGATCAAGGGGGGCAGAGGGATTTGGCTCCAAATAAGGGACAGTTGATAGGTAGGTCTTGTATACAAATGTCAACTTCAGAAAGGCAAGTTGGTTCCGACATGACCTCTCCCCACTCACCTGATGGTACCTACATTTCACTCATGTTGCCATTTTACATAAAATTTACCAGTGAGAGGGTCACTTTAAGGAAGACAACAAGAAAAAAACATGTTCAGAGCAAAGAAATGGACAGAGTAAATATGAATGTCAAGTCCCTGTCATTCTTCCTGCCTTAGGGATTGCTTACACCACACGAATACACTACATCAGGAAAACAAGTCTGCACTATAACATCAGCCAACAGACTCCTTGATATGACTTTCAAACTGCAAATACAAAGACAAAAAAACTCAAAAAGTTAGAAATAGTCAGAGTGGACTTACAACAGAGGTAACTTATTGGAGACATAATAGGTCAAATCATACAAGGTAATCGTGTCCGTCACCACATATTTATGTGTACTGATATTTGATTAGAATGTAATAAGACCACTGTGGCCGAGTGACACGAAAAGCTGAACTCAGGGACCCAAACAACCCAACACAAAAGGCTAAATGCTTGTTTAGCCTAGGTGGTGATGGACAAGCCATAATACTCCCCTGACAGCTCTTTTCTTCTCTTTGACGCCCTCGCCATCCTCACTTACTCTATGGTGCAGGACTGCTATTGTGAGTGTGTGATGATGTCAGAAAGCCTCCAACTAACGGAGAAGCTAAGGGAAGCGGCTTTGGGGAATCGGTCGCACTGAATGGTGAAAGCCTGCCAGAGCAAAGGATAAGGTAAGTATTACAGCTTATGCCTCTACCTCTAGACTTAATGAGCATTTAACCCTTCCAGTGCCCCATTGCAATGGTAATTTTTGCCTGTTGCTCAGAGAGAGGCTTTAAAGGTTTGCTTATGTCTAGCCAAACCTTTTGTTTGCAGTTTTGGGCAGAGTAGGAAAGGGATAACACCCCTGTCATATTACTTTTCACTGTCACTTTTAGGGAGATTTCTCTACACTTCCTGTCCTTGGGATGCAACAGGAAATGGGAGGAATTATCTCCAAAGTGAGGGGAACTCCCCTAACAGACCGTTGTCACTGGAAAAAGTTTGACAACTGTAAACTAGATTTTGTATGATATGCTGTCACGGAGACTACAGTCACCAGGACAGAGAGAGAGGGTTCATCTACCTAACAGGGATACCAAGAGTAATATAAGAGTTAAAACAAATTAGAATTTCTTATATCTCCGAGTTCCCGGGTCTGTACACTTGCTGTACCCATTATGTGGGGTTCCCACTCTCTCTGTTGGATTTGGTATTTATTTTATAATATGGCAATGCAACAGCCATGAAAGCCATGTGTTGACTCATCCCTAACAGATCAATCTAAAATTTCACTTTTGGGTAACTAACTTTGGACTAACCCTTTAAAGGACTGTACCAACATATAATGCTAATCAGCCAACATCTTTGCTGGATGCACATAACATATTTAACTATCTATACAGAATCCAGTGTTTAAGTTACTCTGCTGAATTCCTCTTTAAAATCCACTTCTCCAGAGCTTCTGCATACTCTGTTCAGCTATATATAAACTATACACTGGAAAGCTCATTAAGCTATCGGCATTCTCAGATGGTCAGCAAATGGCTATTGATTTTCCATATTCCTGCTTTGCTCTTTGGTAACAATTCTTAATGTTACATCTCAAAGGTTTCCCTCTGGTAGATTGATTTAAGAAGAATTTACTAAACATACAAGATGATGAAAGTGTTTTAGTTTTTTCCCCCAACTTTGCTCACAGTTCAGTTTTAATATGTTTTTCAACTGCAATGGCTGTCAAAAAAAAAAAAAAAAAGTCACCACCTGGATTTAGACAAGTACATAGGTCAGAGCATGCCATTGGATAACTATTAGATTCAGCAACGTTATGTCCCCAACGTGGGCACATAACATTGAGGTCAGCTGCCTGCCTGAATATACTGAATGACCAGGTTTTACCATCAATGGATTTTTGCTTCCCTGATGGCACGGGCATATTCCATGAAGGAGTACACATGGCAGGCTGACCATGCTGGTGCTGACTGTGTGGCAGTAGCTTAGCGCTGTCATCCTTCAACAGGAAGTGCTGTGCCTAGCAGAATCTCCAGGTAAGAACCTTTGCAACAGATTCATAAAACAAATCTGTATGAACTGTATACAGCGAGGCATGTTACCAAATATACTGTAAAATAGTTTTAAGGGTTTACATACACTTGAAGAAATCCCAATCTAAAACATTGGGCATTACTATAGCATTGCACTCCTCCCCCTTCATGGCTAAGACATCCTCCACTATTCTGGAAAGGCTTTCCCCATGATTTTGGAGTGTGTCTGTAGGAATTTGTGCCCATTCAGCCAAAAGAGCAGGTATTGATGTTGGATGATAAGACCTGACTTAGGCAACCAAATTGAGCTGAAGGTATCTAAAAGAGCTCAGGGCTCTGTGCAGGCCAGTCAAGTTCCTCAACACCAA